GTATTATGTGGAAACTAATTTGACAATAAACTATTTAAAAAAAAAACACTTAAAAACAAATATTCAGGGTTCATTATTGTTAAGTTTATCAGTAACAAATTTGATTAAAAGATGCACATTTTGAATCATTGATTTTTCTTTGTTATGTTATTAAGGCACTTAAAGGAACAATAATTTTTAGGATTTTGAAAGCATTGATGGTTTTATTGTAAACTCTGTTATATATTCTTATTTGTACATTCTTGCGCAGTAGAGAAATATCACTTCCATTTTAAGACAAAGTAGTGTTAATATTTATTGCAAATGATAGATAACACATACTCAAATACCAAATATTAACCTACAAAGTTCAAAATGGGAACACCAATGCACTTTTTTAAATGTTTATTTATTTTTGAAAGAGAGTGAGAGTGCACAAGCGGAGAGGGGCAGGAAGAGAAGGAGACAGAGAATCCTAACCAGGCTCTGCACTATCAGTGCAGAGCCCGATGTGGGGCTCGAACTCCTGAACCATGAGATCATGACCTAAGCCGGAATCAAATCAGACACTTAACTGAGCCACCCAGGCCTCCTAGCCAATGCACTTTTTAATGCTAATCATTTTATTGTATTTTTGTAATAGAATAAGTTTACAGAATTCTGAATAGCAAAAATATCAAATCATATGGACAACCTTTGCCACACGTAACCCAGAAGAACCAAAATGCAAACTGCTTAAAAGAGGAAAGAACAGTGGCGCCTGGGTGGCTTAGTCGGTTAAGCGTCCGACTTTCGCTTAGGTCATGATCTCGCGGTTCGTGGGTTCTGGCCCCGCGTCGGGCTCTGTGCTGACTGCCAGCTCAGAGCCTGGAGCCTGTTTCAGTCTGTGACTCCCTCCCTCTCTGACCCTCCTCTGCTCACGCTGTCTCTCTCTCTCTCTCCTAGAAATAAATAAAACATTTTTAAAAAAACAAATAAATAAATAAAAGAGGAAAGAACTGAAAACACTTATTAAACATAAAAAGTTTCTAATTTTTTTTCTTACTTTTTCATTGTTTCAATCTGAACTTCCACTTCCGTTTTTTCTATTACAATTTTCTCATAATGACTTTTCCAGGCATTGGAAGCTGAAATAGTTTCAGACAGCTTGGCCTCCTAAAAAATACGTTAAGTACTCATCTTGTAATTGAGTAACACTTTGCTTTTGTGCAGGTCCCTAAACACAAATACAACATAAATAAGGAAACGTTCATCCTATAAAGGATGGAACTTTTGATATAGAAAATTTTAGTGTACAACTCCGAATATAAGAAACTTTTAAAGTAAATGTTGATAAAATCTTGATTATTAGTATTGCTTTATATGCACATAGCAGCAGCTCCAACACAACATTTTAAGGATGTTGACATAACTATTTTCAAACAATGTTTCATAATTAATGAGGATAATTTCCTTCCTATTTCTTAAACCTTTCATTTTGCATTCTACGTATAGGAGATGCTAACAACCGAATAAGCACATGGAGGAGAAAGAAGCCCTCTATGGTAAATACAGAAGCTCTGCAATTCCATAATTCCATAGCATTTAATAAGGCAGCCTTATTTGTCATTGCTATGATGATGTCAAGCTGTTTTGTAGACGTCACGCCCACGGGCCTTCAGACACGGTTACTGTTAGTTAGCAAAGAGATGAAAATTATAGTGATGGCTTTATCCATTTTGAGTGTGAGCTCCCAGACATAGAAATTTTTGTCTGTTTTATTCATTGCTATGGCCTTGAATAGTGCCTATCATAGAGGAGACTCTCAATAAATAATTGTCAAATGAATCTACCCTTTACAAACCCATCTAGAGAGACACAGTGCTTGTGCCCCCTGCCCACATTCCACTGAACAACAAACTCACTAGGAAGACAAAAGTGCCAATAATTATTAATCAGAAGATCCAGAAGTAGCAATGATAGCAGTTAATATTTACTGGGGGATTTTTTCTTTCCTTCCATCATTCAACCACTTTTTGTCTTACACTTTTTTTATAGTAATATTGTTGATACACTGAATAAAGCCTAGTATTCTGTTTTCATAGTTTACATTTTAGGTTGCACTATGAAGTATAAGTTGGAATCTGTGTGTGTGTATAAATTATAAGTTGGATAATATACTATAATATAAAGATACTTAGAAATTGTATCTGTAAAATAAATGCTATGAAGAAAATTTAAGACATGATAAAATAGTTGGGGAACTACCTCAAAAGGAGTGGTCAAGGAAAGCCCCTCTGATGAGATGTCAATTAAAAAGATGCCTGGAGAAGGATAGATACCATATGTTTTCACTTATAAGTGGAAGAGGAGAAACTTAACAGAGGACCATGGGGGAGAGGAAGGGGAAAAAATAGTTGGGGAGAGGGAGGCAGGCAGGCAAACCATGAGAGACTCTTGAATGCTGAGAACAAACTGAGGGCTGATGGGGGCAGGGGGGAGGGGTGGGGGGAGATGGGCACAGAGGAGGGCACTTGTTGGGATGAGCACTGGGTGTTCTATGGAAACCAACTTGACAATAAACTATTTAAGGGAACAAAATTAAAAGACGCCTGAATGATTAAAAGAACCAGCTATCGTGAACCCGAGAAAAACATTACAGCCAGAGATAACAGCAAACAACAAATCTCTGTGTATTAGAGGAATAGAAAGTAGGCCAATATGGCAAAAAATATAGGACTGCCAAGGCAAATGTGCTTTCCAGTGTATTTTGTCGTTTATCCCTCCCTACAACGATATGAGATAATAATATTGCCTATCTCTTATTTTGTAGATAAGGAAACTGAAGGAAGTGAGGTTGAGTACCTTGCCCAAGGTTAACAAGTGGAAGGGCCCTCCTGTACCAAGAGCAGGAGCATGAGTGACATGATGCTATTTAAAGAGGAAAAGCCTGAGACCGTTAAGGACTTGATTAGCTTTTCCACTCAGTAACATTTTCAGGTATTCAACTAAGTCTTCTAACCCTCTAGGTTGTGAACTTTGTCCCCAATTCTTTTTGTCTCTTTTGGGTCTGAATGTAGATCATCTTTAAACGTTAACACCTGAGCTTATAAAATATTAAGCTGCTTTGTTTACACAAGAGTTTATACATGTCCGTTTCCTTTTCTAAAGCCTCGAATAATGCTACAAGCCTTGACGTAAGTTCTTAAGAGGTGCAATACCAGGGAGACATTAAAAAGAGTAAATATTTTATTTTTTTATTTTTATTTTTTTTAAATATTTTTTATTTATTTCTAGGAGAGAGAGAGAGACAGCATGAGCAGGGGAGGGGCAGAGAGAGAGGGAGACACAGACTCTGAAACAGGCTCCAGGCTCTGAGCTGGCAGCACAGAGTCTGATGTGGATCTCAAACTCACAAACTGAGAGATCATGACCTGAGCCGAAGTCAGATGCTTAACCGACTAAGCCACCCAGGCGCCCCAAGAGTAAATGTTTTATTAACTGCTAATTGAACAAATATAATAATCCATCGAAAACAACAAAGCACTAAGTTCAATTTTCAACTTTGTACTACACCCAAAGATAACTTTCACATGGTGTGTTTACGTCAGCGAATGGTTTTAAGTGCATTACACAGTTCAAATGAAGTGAATTACTGAATGAAGTCATATGGTCTAATAACATAAATCAGCATTTCCCAAACTGGTGTTCCTTAGAACCCGTTCCAAGAGTTGTTTTGTGGGTAAAACAAGAGGTCTGTGGTTAAATAAGTGGTGAGAAATTATGAGTTCAATACTCTTCATCATTCTGTCTTACTTTACTGAAGGCCTACTCAGGGCCTTTAATGTGCTAATATACACTGTCCGTTTCCAAGCGGGAATATGTATGAAGCATTACCCTTAGTTTGCATTAGATGCTCTGAGACACATTTAACATATCCTTTGATAAAGTTCCGAAGGCAAGACTGGTAAGTTTCAATATGCCAATGTGACATTCTATGTAATCTTTCAAAAAAAGACTAAAGCAACAGAGTAGAGGGAGTAAAATTTTTCTGGTATCAGTAGCATTAAGAGAAGAATAAGATTTATATTAAGCATTATGACATTATCTACATAAACTAAATATATAGAACAGTTAAGAAAGAATTTACAAATACTTACCCGATCTCTAATTTGGGAGGTAAGGTTTTCCATGTTTCCAGTAAAGTGTTTAAGCCTTTGTTTGTAAATTTTAGATGCTTTTTTTAGAGCTACAGTTTTTTGCCTACTTGATTCTTTCATTGCTACAGCTTCATGCTTATTCTTTCTCAATTCTGAGTTCCAACCAGTTATCTTGGTTTCTAAGTTCTAAAAAAAATATATTAGTAATATTTAAATTATTTCAGAATTCTGATCTTTATGTAAAATTGTAAAAATATGTAATCTTTCATAGATTTTATCAAAAAGACTAATCACAGGATTAGTAAAAAGTAAAGCAGTAAAGAAAGGTAGTTTCACCAATGTTTATTTGTAACCAGTTATAGAATGAAAATTTAAAATATACAAGCCTATAGAAAACTAATCCTCTTATTAAAGATACTAATATTGGTGATTACGGTACAAGCATTTTCTTAAAACTTTCATAATTAACTAGGCTTTTAAAATTTTTCACATCTAGAATATTATACACAGTACTAGTTACTGAAAATCAAAAAAAACATAATTGAGCTGGAGACCATTCAAACAAGATACACAAAGCTCAAAGGTATCAGTAGCTCCCTACACATTAGGACTCTTTACTTGCAATGATAAAGGCTTAAAGGACATATGATCAAAATCTATAGATCAAGAAAGAGATGAGATAAACATAGGCTTATTTAGCAAATTTTAATTTACTAGAATCAGGGGGAATGCCTGGACAGTTAAGAGAGTTACATCAAGGGCAAAAAAAAGTACTGCTTTATCCAGTAATTTTATGGAAGTTATTATGCCAAGACTAAAGAGGCTTAGAAAGGTTAATAACGATCAGGTCCATAAGAGTTAGTAAGGGTAAAAAGACGTCTGAGGGGCTGAGGGATGTGTTTCTATCCACTGACTTTAACGATGTTAGTTGGCGTCACTGTTTCCTTACATATCTCTTGGTGGCATAACTAGAGACAGAATATTAGGATCGGTGGATGATGGCCATGATTTAGTGTGATAATTCTCATACTTTTATTTTGAATTATCTTATGACTTTCTATTTAAAGTATTTGACTACTAAATATCTAATAATTTAGAGACTTAAGATTTTAATGCTTTTACATTTTTTGAAAATTGTATAATACTGAAAAAAAGTTAAATTATTACAGAATTTAGGTTTCAGTTTAACCTAAGTGATGTCTTGGGTAATCATTTTAATGGAAAAAAATCAAAGGAGTCACAGTAAAAGATTGGGTTTTTTGATTCAACTCCATGATCAATAAAAACTATGCTTCTTAACTTCCATTAAAATTTAGATTAGAAAGTACATCTTAAATAAGATTTAAAGACTTGTTCTCTTTGAAAAGTAAACTAGGTAGATTAAGAAAAGTAACAAAACATTCTTAAACAGTCTTTAGAAATCTACTTAAACTAAAAAAAAATCCCATGAAATTTTTCTTAAGTAGTTTCATAAGCACTTTTTCATAAGAAAGTTTTCATTAGGACGAAAACAAGACAAAGAGCAGTCCAAGTCTACTGAAGACTCCACAGGAAATACAGCTGTCATTCCTCCAGGAAACCACAGGGTGTCACCATCACACCACAAATAATTGCTACACTTGCAGCAAGAAACCATTTTCAACACCAAAGGTGAAATAATAATTTTTTTGGAATAAGGTTCCAGCCAGGACATTCTCACTTCCATCTCAATTTGATCACTATTAGGGAGTATACAAATTATCAAATTATTTTTATGGTTTCAAAATAAATAACTCCTCAGTCTTTTGCCAGATGAACAGAAACACATTTAAAACAACTAGCAGCCTTTCCCAATTTCCAAAGAACTACACATGCTGTACATTATAATTAGTCTGTGTCTTCTAAATTGTGAAAATATTCTTTATCTAACTGCTACATAAAGATCCAGAAAGAAAGCTGGGTTCCAAATATCTTCGGGATAGTTCTCTGAGAACTAAAGTATAATTTTAATTTTTTTAAAGACCTACATAAGAAACTGACTCAACTGAGTCAAAACTAAAATACGAAATAACTGAGATTTTTGTTGTCAAACTGAGTTATCTTTGTATTCTAAAAAGAACCTTGTGAAACCTAATCGAAGAACTAAACTATGATCCCCCAATTCATGCCTTAAATTCCAAAACTGTTAGAGGGAATGTAGAAAAGTCAGTAACCTAATGCAACCTCTTGTAATTATTTCTAAACAGCGGCATTCTTGTAAAGGAATTTAAACTCAAAATGTTGAATGTCATAACAAAAATCTTAAGATTTTAGTCTTATATTCGCCCTCTATATAAAAATAGCTAAAACTAACTTTAAAAAGTCATTTAATATTTCATTTTGAAATTGAAGAAACATATTTCCAAAAACTTCCTTACTGTTCTTTGAGGACATAACTAAAACTTGTGAGAGAAACTATGAGAGATGATGATCTGCGGTGTCAGACCACATGTTCACGACAGAGGCAGGCAGTATCAACCCCAGCTCATCTGTGATGCCCCAGGACACCACAGGGGATCCATGGGGGAAAGTGCTTAAAAGAACCTGTAGGAGCACAAAGGACAAAATTTACATTCCACATAAGCCTGCCTAATGTCCCTTTACTGGGCAAAAGCTTTTCCTCCTTGAAGAAAAAAACCAAAACATCCCCAGGGAAGTCTTGAAACACACCACAGGTTACAAACACCTGCAAAAGCAAACGAATTTAACACAGATGCGCTCACATTCAATGGGAGTTATCTTTGCACACTTTCCTTAAAGCGAGAACACTGCATCTTTTCCTTCAGCAAAAATAATGACAATAAATCCAGTTAGCTTGTGTCCTATCATAGATCCTCAAATTCTTCTTTCAAAGTGCCTGGGAGGTTTCCAAGAGAATATTTAAACCACTGAGTTTAAACCAAAAACTCCCCCTTAATTACACTGCTAAAAAACTGTGTGACAAGAATGCTACTCAGTTGTCTAAATACCAAAGCTAGGTTAACTGATTTTAAAGTTGTCATCATTAATGACAAGCACAAAAATAATACACATTTATTGACTGCATAATAATGTGAGAGTATACATTTATGTGTGGATGTAGAAAATAGACAAGAATTCTATATACCAAAACATTGACAATGGTTTTTATATTTTAAGTTATTTTAATTCTCTCCTTTATATGTTACAAATTTTCCACAATAAACATAAATTAACTATATAATGGGAAAGATTTTTAAAGATATTCAACCTCTAGAAATCCTCCCTAGATTGGTACTCAAGAGAGCGAGTATTTTTATACTGGGATTTGGAACCAAATCTTGAGATGGGCCAGAAATCTTAAGAATTGCCTCAAATATGTATTTCCCATGGCAACACTCAGATCAAATTCTTCCAAAACCACCAAATTCCAGAACTAAGGAAAGGCTTTATAGTTGTTCATTAATTTTATCACTTAAGCTATAAAAGTGAATGAATATTTACAACCTTTATATATTCTTTTAATTTATCATTCTCTGCTTCCTTTTTATGAATTTGGAGCTGTAGTCGTTCATGTACTATTTTTACTGACTGTGAAAAACGGTTTGCTTTCAAAGCATTTGCCTATAACAGAGAAAAAAAAATGTGTTATTTATCAAAAATCTTTATCCATACTTAGACATGATCTAAAAAGTTGATTAGAAAGCAAAGTACCACTTTACATTAACCATGATCTCCCCCATTATAAAATATATTTTATATAAAACTATGGGGCTATTTTCTTCTCTCCCACTTTATTTAATGATTCCTGATAATCTCCTTTTGAAAATTCCTACCTATCCTAAGTAAATTGTGTCTAAAATGGTTCCACAGGGGCACCTGGGTGGCTCAGTTGGTGAAGCGTCAGACTCTCGATTTCAGCTCAGGTCATGATCTTACAGTTGTGAGATCAAGCCCCATCTTGGGCTCCTCGCTGAGAGTTGAGAGTGGAGCTTCCTTCAGATTCTCTCTCTCTCTCTCAAAATAAACAAATATTTAAACCTAAATAAATAAAATGCTCCTACAAATACCAAAATTCCTTAATTTATACAAAAATTTAAATACAATACACATTTATGTATAGTTCCTAATGTATAGTGATTTATATCAATTACTCTGACTTAAATATAAAAATCTTTAAGAAAACTGAAAAAAAAAGATATTTCATAAAAACTCATAAAATATCCAAATAATCTAAAAACCTTCCTAGATCTATTTTTGAGGTTATGGGGGCCAGAATGGAAAGAGGGAAAAGAGGGAGTCAATATTAAGAAATATGATGAATTAAGCTCAGAATTTGCTTACCTTTTCATTCTGAAACAAACAAGAAAGTTCTTGAATATAGGTCTCCTTTTCAAGTACCTTCTTCTTTAGATTCTTTAGCAAATATAATGTAAGAGTTAGAAATATCACAATGTGGATAATGTTGATTAATTTTATAAACACAAGCAGCATATACATAAAAAATGTCAGAGTAGACACAAAGTGTAAAAAGACTTACAGTATTTTCACTTTCATTATCAGTTAGCTTCTCTAACATACTGGATAAACTGTCCCCTACCTATAAAAAAAGGTATTATAAATCAGTGCTCACCAGCATATTTCTCTACATACAAAAGTAGAAAGAAGAATAAGCATCACTTAAGAAATTAATATGGGCAATTTTATGCACAGTTTAGATTTTTTTAAAAATCACCAGTTTTTTGCCACAGTGTTTCAAATCATTTTGTGTCTACAATTTATGAAGTTAATTATATACCTAATTTCTAAATAACACCTCAAACTACAAGCCAATGACATAAAAACCACAAAAATCTGGGGTGGCTAGATGGCTCAGTTGGTTAAGTGTCCAACTTCAGTTCAGGTTATGATCTCACAGTTTGTGGGTTCAAGCCCCATATCAGGCTCTGTGCTGACAGCTCAGAACCTGGAACCTGCTTCAGATTCTGTGTCTGTCTCTCTCCCTGCCCCTCCCCTGCTCACATCTGTCTCTCTCTCTCTAAGAAATAAACATTTTTTTTAATTTAAATAAACATTTTTTTAAAATCTTTCATACAAAGAAGCTCAAGGTACTGTTTATAAATAGGTTAAAAAGATCAGCAACCTTAATTCTATCAAGTGAGAATTTTTTAAAGAATTACAGCACATTAGTAAAGGAATTCTATGTAGACATTTTAAATAAGAACACAGAAAAATGTTTAATCATTTTGAGGGTCATACTCCTGCTTGAGAAGGTGAAAAAGCTATGAATTCCTTTCACCCAAAGGCATTTATGCCATGTACAAATAATGCAAAATTGTACACACACTTTCAGAGGGCTCATGGACTGCATGGAGCCCACTCTTGGACTCTCTAAAGGTACACCATGGACTGCCTGGCATACAGATAGTTCCATTTCTCTTGGGTAAATACAACTTGTAAGTGAATGTTCACAGCAGTTTTATGCATAACAGCCAAAAAGCAGGAGCAACCCAAACATCCATCAACTGAAGAATGGACAAATAAAAATGGTATTGCCATACAGTGAAATATTATTCAGCAATGAAAAGGAAGGAAGCACTGATGTGTGCTACACATCACATGGGTGAACCCTGAAGACTTATTTTAAATGGAAGGCAGTTATGAACAACCACATATTATAGGATCCTATTTATGTGAAATGTCCAGTATCAGAAAATTCTTAAAAACAGAAAGTAGCTATTAGGGGAAGGAGGGGTAATTGGGGGGTGGGAGATAAGAGTGGAGATGGAAACACTCTAACAGTGTGGTGACTGCTACACAATTCTGTGAATATACTACAAATCACCAGAATTGTACATTTTAAAAGGTATGTGAATTATCTCTCAGCAAACTGTTACCCTCAAAAAAATAAATGAATGTATAAATACAGCTTAAATTCTAAGAAAATTTTATTGTAAGTGGAAATGAAATATACCAAATGAGAATTTTTGAGACAGAAGATACATATATATTTTCCAAAAAAAACATGCTGCTTTCATGTAGAACTATTTTTGAAATATTAAGAGTAAGGGTTTAGTTTAATGATTGCTATTCCAAGCAAAAATTCAGGCATTCTTTCCATTTCAAATATACCAATATTTTAATAACTACAGTTTCAGAAGTAGTAAACCCATCAATTGAGAAATAGATCTATTAAATTAGTGCTTAGGGTCCTTACTTGTTGGTATTCTGTCTTTTTAAGAAGATGTTCTAAGGCTTGTTTTACATGTTTAAAAGTGTCTAATTCTTTTGCTAATTTTTCCTGTTTAGAAACCTTCAAACTGGATGCGAAAAGATTAGCCTGACAAGAACCACATACACATTTTAAGATATAGCATTAAGACACTCTAAAATACAATGTTGCGATTATCAAATAGTTTATTCTAGTAACAAAATCATTTTTGCACATAGTATGAGTAAATTTTGCAAAGTTTTTTAATAGTAAATAGTATCTTATATTATACATTAAAGTAATGAAATCCAAATAAGGGCTTAAGCCCTAAAGTATTTCAAGCATTTACTTTAACAAAACTAATAGAATACAATCTATTTTTTGTCTCTAACTCAAAATTTAGTTCACTGAAATTTGAGAATACAGGTTTCTATTCCCTATAACACTACAGAAAATAGATCTATTCATCTCTCAGAATATTTTAGTTTACATTCACTCTTGCGAAAGTTGACACTCTAGTCCATATTTAGGTAGGTCAAGCACCAAGGTATACATTTTCTGCTTATCTTCTTATCAAGGGCATGCCTGAGATGATATTTGGAGGAAAAAATTGCCATTAATAACAGATATAAAGAAGAATGATAAACTGCAATTTTTTTATATCAAATACCAGCATATGAGCATAACTACATTAATATGAGACCACAGTTAATGCATTCTGAGTATTATACTAGCTTTATTTTATTAGGTGTTCATAAATCAAGTACTCACATTTTCAAAACTAATCTCTTCAACGGTATCCTTAAATAATGGTGAAAATAATTCTAGAGAACAGGTTGCTAATTCAGACTCCTTAAATGTTCCTTCCAGTTCAGTCTTTCCATTGAGGACGTCCTGCTTTCCACTAGATATGCACAAAGTTAAATATGTCATATAAACTAGTTATATTTTTATGAAAATATAGCACAGCTTGACTAAATATTACAGTTCTAAACGCTGCTCTCCAAAATGTTACAGTAAACTGTCACTGAAAATGTATGGAATTTTTCCTATACTCCCCTATTTTTCTATACTTAATATACACAGTTTTTAAAACATTTGAGATATGTAAAATACAAAAATGACCAACAGCAATGTTTCACTGTGCTACTTGATAATTACTGAATATCTCTTTTCTAGTTTGTAAAATGATTTGGTGTGAATGTTTATGTCTTTTTTTATTTCCCTTCCTTCTCCCTACTCTAAACCCAAAAGATTTGTCTTTCTAGACCTTACTCCCAAACTGTTTCTTAAAAACTTACTGCTCACAGAAAGATTCCGCAGAAGAATAAATAAGCTAACCAAATGGAACCAAAAGAACTCAAGCTCTCCAGAACTCAAAAAATCTTTCACATTTGGCTTTATAATAATCATCATTCAAAACAGAACTATTAATATTTGCCTTCTTGATTGCCTAGGCACTACTGGGCATCACTGGAAGAAATATTTCTTTGGTCACATTTTTACACCCTGAAATCAGGATGCTTCTTGTTATCTTTGTTAGTCAAGAGGCAGTCCCGAGCAGTCTTTCCTGCACATGCCTAAAACTCACAGAATGGAAGGACAGTGCTTTCAAGAACATGCCAGAGATGGATGCACACTTTCTAACCCCCAGGAATGGAGGTCATAGAGGGGATGAAGGAGCTGGTGAAGCACGAATACTCAGCAACATTCCAGAAGAAGACACTGATATAGGCTTGCTATATATCATAATTAACAGCCCAGCACCAATAAATCTTATTTCAGTTAAAAATGCTCCTAAGAAAACTAACAATAGAACTCCCCTATGACCCAGCAATAGCACTGCTAGGAATTTACCCAAGGGATACAGAAATGCTGAGGCATAGGAGCACATGTACCCCAATGTTCATAACAGCACTCTCCACAATAGCTAAAACATGGAAAGAGCCTAAGTGTCCATCAACAGATGAATGGATCAAGAAAATGTGGTTTATCTATACCATGGAATACTACATGGCAATGAGAAACAATGAAATCTGGCCATGTGTAGCTACATGGATGGACCTTGAGGGTGTTATGCTGAGCGAAATAAGTCAGGCAGAGAAGGACAAATATCATATGTGTGCACGTATAGGAGGACTAGGAGGAACTTAACAGAGGACCAATCAGGAGAAGAAGGGGGGAAATGGTGGGGGAAAGGGAGAGAGGCAAACCATGAGAGACTCTTGAATGCTGACAAAAACTGAGGACTGATGGATGTGGGGGGGAGGGGGGATGGGCATGGAGGAGGGCACTCGTGGGGATGAGCACTGGGTGTTATGTGGAAACTAATTTGACAATAAACTATTTGTAAAAAAAAAAAAAAAAAAAGAAAAGGAATAAAATGCTTCAGTATTTTCAAAAAAAAAATAAAAATAAATAAAAAAATAAAAATGCTCCTAAGAAATGTCATATGATCAATACTCTCAATAGCAAGGATGACTCTGAGTCAAAAAGTGACTCAGAAGAGTTGGATTTTGAGTATAAAAAAGTTTTGAGAATACCCTGCTTTATTTCACTTACATTTCATTTTTATATAAGCATAAAGTTACTTAAAGTAAAATAAATCTATGTGTAATTAAGTTTGAAGGAGCTTTTTCAATATTTATAAATAAAATTCCATGTAATAAGAAAACACTGTGTCTTTCTTTAATAGGCAGCTTTTTTCTTTCATTAAAAATGCAATACAATGGCTCATCAACAACTGACGGCATCTTAGAGGCGATGTCAGAAAGCAGATTGTGTTCTTACGCACTGCTGGCTTAACAGGATGAGCCTAAGAGGTGGGCTATAAATGACAATTGTCCATTATTAAAAACCACAGGCAGAAGAAAGTCAAGAATGGTTATATATGAACAAATATTATCGTCACTTACAACAAGCTAAACTAGAAGCTGGATTGTCCTATCAACAGTGACAATAATGGTGTTTTTAAGACCATCATATTGGTGAGCAATGAATCATATAAATAATATAATAAGTGTATTCCCTGTTCTAAAAAAGATAGCAAAATATGACAGGTATTTGTTATATAGCAATGTTCCAAATGACAGTGAATTCATACTCATTAGCTACATTTCCAAAGTTCCACTGTATTTATTTTTTCATTTACCTTAGCTATAAGGCTTAATACTTCAATAATTCTCAATAGCTAAGGTTTTCATTTTCATTTGCTTTCATTAAGATTCCAAAAACTAGTCAAATTCTGCCAAATGAGTATATTTGTAAGGAGGTTAAATAGATACATGAATTGCCAAATATGAAGAAGGTAGTCTTGTAAGGATGCTGTGTTTGATTCAAATAATTTACACTATGGACAAATCATGACACCCTGAAGTCAGAAAATCAGATATCCCCTGCTAGCATTGAGAAGACCACCTGAGATGACTTTCACTGAGAGACTGTGGTAAACGTTCGTTCTCTGGGGTACTTTTCAAATGAGGACATGATTCTTCTGAATGACTTCCATCAACTGCGGATTTCTCCATAAATTTGGTGAACGGATTTATAAATGGCGTCCACAACAACTTCTCATAAGCTGAAAGTTAGGAAATATTTTAATCATTAAATTTCAGTAGATTCTTTTTTCTCTCATTACCCTGTAAAATAGAAATCCTAAACATGTGTAAAGAGTAATATTTCACAGACAAAATAGAAATTATAATTGCTACTCGTTGTGATACTAATTTAAAAAGTATCAAAATTGCATTGCACCACCATTCAACAATTGCCAGTTTCCAAAGTTTCCAAAAGGCCTGTTATTTCCTACATAACCATAAGAATGCATAAATTTTTATTAATCTATTTCTTGAGTATTATAATATCTTAATTCAGTCAAACTGGAAGACAAATGTAAAAACTATGGTTAACTCTGGTCCTCAGTTTGGTTTTATCTCCCCAATAGGAAATGTAGGTTATTTATGCCTAGAATAGTAGAAATCTAATATACTTTCGAAAGTAGACTTCCTACAAGGAAGATTAAGTTATTCTTTTGAAAGTAGACCTTTCAAAATTAATTTATTCCGATCTCCCAGCTCAATCTAGGATATTCTTTGGTGATAATAAATAGATGACAATACTTCTAAGTTTTACTAAGTTAACTGCTTTCACTCAAACTTAAAGATGTTATTTTAAAATTTTTTAAAACTTATTTATTTTGAGAGAGAGAAAGAGCACACAAGCACGCACACGCAAGTAGAGGAAGGACAGAGAGAGAATCCCAAGCAGGCTCTGCACTGTCAGTGAAGAGCCCAATGCCGGGCTCAATCTCACAAACCCTGAGGTCATGACCTGAGCCAAAATCAAGAGTAGGACCCTTAACCAACTGAGCCACCCAGGTACTCCAAATGTCAGTTTTTAAAATGTGAATACTCGTGAATTTCTTCAGAACTGTTCCATTTGAAGTAATGAGTTCGTGTTTTGGCAATCGTTAAGGCTGTATTTTCATAACTCCATTATACGATAATGTGTCTCCCTGACTTTATTTTATATTCATATAAAATCAAATGTTATATTTAAGATTTTCTGCATTTTTTCAGAAATATGTTACCTCTTTGTAATTTATTTTTATAAATCTGCATTGTACGATACATATGTTCAAGAATTTTCAATACTTTGGGTAGATGTGAAGAAATTACAAGTTGAAAATTACTCATAATATTTCCAAATTACAGACACTTCTAAAGCGTCTGTAAAAATTTATCTACTTTTGTCTGAAGTTTCTATATACCACCAAAACAAATAGTTAGGATATAGGCCAATAAAGAGCATGCTTATATTTTTTAAATACCAGCAACTCATGTATGAGTGGAAGTGCTAACATCTGTTAGTAGGCATAATGATATTTTGAGCTATCTGAAGTCTAGAAAAATTTAAAAATATATGGATACACAAAATCAAATAAAAACCCAAACCTAAGAGTGAAGAAGAATATGATCTGGATAAGTCACTACCATCAATAGTACTATCACCTACTGATTTGTTTTCTTCCAATAGCTACCCCACTCACAGAGGAACTGCTCTTTACCTTTCATCCATTCACTTGTTTAAAATTTGTCTCTTTGCACTTTGGAATCTCAAGAAAGAATACCTTATTTATATCTGAATCTCCAGCACCTACAAGCCTTATAAAACCAAAGCAATAATGGAAGGAGAGAAGGCTCAACGTTTAGAGTAGTTAATGTGATTAAATCAAGACAGATGCTTTTTACTTATTCACCTCACTGATTCATCTTTTTAGGGATCATTAAAAGAAAAATGTTTCCTATATTTGGAATAAAAGTTCAAAAATTAATGTAAGAGGATTAGGGATCTTCAATTTGTAGACATATTTTATAAGATTCAGTTTGGTATCAGTATTTTACATGAGTTTTTACTTGGCTTTGTGGGTTATTGGTATCTGTTTATACAATTTTTCTAAAGTTTTATCATATAATGAAATCATACAACATTTTCCTGCTTCATCACCTGTAAAAAGTAACTATGTCTTATCTTAAAGGATAAACAAATAAAATTAACACGTTGTGAAAACAGAGATTTTAGAATGATTTTTGGCCCAACATTCAAAAATGTTCTCTTCATTATTGACTCCTTGAAACATAAAGAACTGTTTAATCCTCAGATATACCCATAGAAATTATTAGCAATTATATTCTCACAATCTAGAAGTATTTCTAGGATAAAAATTGTTCAAAGTTTCCAAGACACTCCGCTATTTTTGTGTTGTGACAATACTATGACCCAAACCATATATGTGCCGAAAAACAATGTAATAATTTCCTTTAGCATAAAGAGTCCCACCTTTATAAAAAGTGCTATCATTTTAGTGGACCAAATGTATTCTTGGATGGAAAAGCAGACGTTTCACAAGAAAATGTTTTCAATTACGTGGAATGTACTGCCAAAGGACAAATACATTATACTTCTGTACAACTTGGTGGTGAGACAAAGACATATGCTGCACACATATTTAATAATCAAACCCCTCAAGACTACCAATTTAAATATATTTTAATGTTTAAAGAATTAAATTTCCTATACAGAGATGACTTTACCAGGCCCCTATCAAAAGGGGATGTACTTAAAGCTTTTTCCAGGCGTGGTCATGGCTTATGCTGACCCAGCTACACTCACTAAACTATGTTCCATTCTGGCCAACAACAAGCATTTGAGGGATGGCTGTTCAGGGACTGTAATGCCGGCCTCAGTCAGAGAAAAGAAAGATGACAGTTCATGACCTTCCTTAGCATCTAGATTGGTCTCAGTAAGCAAACCAGCTGCAGACAAATATGTATTTAAAACTAATCTCTCTGGAAAAAAGCATAAGAATCTCACAGATTTCAATTTGTTTTGCCAAACATTAATTCTTGGAAAACTAGCTCCCAGTGGCCTCAAACAAAAGCACACAGCTTCTATTGAAAACTTCACTGAAATCATCATCAAAAAACACAAAGTAGATATAGGAATGCTGCTCATTTCTCTCACCATTCTACACACTAGGCAAAGTTCACTAGAGGAGAAATTGTAGAGCCCTGAAGAACAAATGTGAGTGTGGCAAAACGGAAGAGAAAAGGGCATTCTAGGTAGAAGGTCAAGTACAAGCAAGAGGAGGGAATCATGAGGGGACATGATTTGCAAGAGCAAGTGGCAAAGTATGAGACTGGGCACACTGACAGTGGTCACTGTATGCCAAGCTCAAGAGCTTGAACTTTTTCCTAAGGGTTAAGACAGACCATTAAACCATTTTCAGCAGGGTAATAACAGATCAGAGGTGTGTCTTTAAAAGACAAATCCAGTGGTATCTTGGAGAATGAACTAGGTACATGGAGGGGAGAAGAGTAGAAGCAATGAAACTGGTTACTAGAGTCTCACATGAAATCCCAACATTCGTTTCCTAGAAAAACTTTCGAAGAAATCAAAAGTTGTTTCCACTGGTGATAAGAACATGAAAAACAATGAACGAATTAGAATACCAAGAGATCAGTACAGACCAAATAGAACACCTCACTTACCCACGACCTTCTAAATGTATTCCTCCACATATCTGTTCCAGAAAATGACAGTTTATCCCATTAAATACCAAAATTAACCTACTATTTGAAGAAAATCTTCTGAAAGTATTATTTCTTCTTTTTCAAACAGAGTATAGGTAGCCTGAACATAATTTAACCATTCCTTAATGACTGAGAGGCAGCATATTAAAATGAAAGGATACTGGGCCAGACTCACCCGTTCTTAATCCTTAGAGCCACTTGATACGGACACTTAGCCACAGTGAGCCTTAGTTTTCTCTTCTACAAAATGAGAATAACCTTTGCCAGCCACAGCTGTGGGGAGGTCTGAACAGAGTGAAGCAGCACTTACAGGTGGGGTTGTGTCTGTTTGAATGTTTCTTAAATGTAGGGTTCCTTTGGCTCACTATTGTGGTTGCTTTCCCACCAGATCTTCTTTTTAAATTTTTTCATTAAAAAAAATCACCCTGAGTCAATCACCATTCCTTAACTCACTTGTAGACTTGAGTTACCTATGTAAAACTTTCCAAAAACAATTCAAGATCTATTCGTTATAAAATCATTACAAATCTTCAATGTAGTCATTAATTTGAGTACCACTAAACCAGATCCCAAGGGAGAACAACGGACTTCCAAAAGAACTGAGCCCAGTGGGTTGATGTTATATCAACCTAATTGTTATACCCAGTTCCTTGGGTCTCATTCATTTGTACAATATAAACAAAGCCATTTTCTCATACCTTTGGGTTTGGGGGGATATAAAAACTATTTTATACACATTAACTGAAAGTAGAAGAAAACCAGAAGCAGAAAATGGTACCTAGCTGTTAAATTACGAACACGACCAATGCATGCTTAGTGTTAAGTGTACGGAAATCAAACTAAGACAGGTTTTCTGCGGTATGTTCCTTTAACTAACCAAGTGGTGTTTAAAAGTACTCCAAGAACCTCATTCATTCAAAAACACCTGAAGCCTTACTATGAGTGACAGGGAAAGTTTGTCTGCGAAATAGACGTTATCCTAAACACCAGCCCCGCTGTGGCTATGGTTTTCTCGATCAACAACGAGCACCCCTTACTGACTACCTATCCTCAAAACCTGGCATTGGTTTACTTAATCTCCTTTATTATAACCACTCCAAAGTGATTATTATTATCCTCATTTTCCAGATAAGGAAACTGAAGCCAGGAACGTTAAGTGCTCGGATCAAGGCCACACATTTGAAGGGGTTTCCTACAGAGTCTGGAAACCTAGAAGGAACCTAGAGGACTTAGTTTCCGAGGTTTCTTAGAGGAATCTTCACATAAGGAGCCTACTACAATCTGGTATATTACATAGCGGTCGCTTAAAAGCCAGCCAAAAGAGTAAGAAAGCCGGCAGTGTATGGGTTTAGTTATGGACAAAACCATCAAGTAAGATCTGCCCTTATGTCCCAAACACCACACCCTCCCTAGGAATACAAGCCTCCTCGCTGCCTTTTCCCCCAACCCAGGCAGTCAAGTCTGGGCGAAGCGGCAGGTATGGACA